GGAATCATATATAATAGTCGAAGCGAAGGGAGGCAAAATAAAATAAAATAAAAGCAGAACTAGCCACCGGTTCGTAAATTCCTCCCATTTAACCCATGCACCGATTGAAAGCCAGAACAAGCGTGAGGCCAGAGAGGACAGCATGAAGGACGCAGGAGGTAGAAGAGGGATAGCAGTTTAGGGGGTAAGAGGACAGAGAACGAGAAGAAGCATAGCAGAAGGCCCCGAAGGAAGTCAAATATGTAGGCAATGCATGAATAACGTGTGGGAATAAAAAAAAATAAAAATAAAAAAAGAAACGGGGGAAAAAAAAAAAGGAAAGGCCATTAAAGAGTCCCATTAGAAAGCCCGGATTGATTTTTTTTTGGTTGCCCTCGCCCAGAATGGGCCAAAGAACGGTGAAAACAAACATTGAATACTTTAAAAAAGATAAACAAAATGACAGGAAGAAAAAGTGGGAAAGGAGGGCAGCGAGGCGCTGTTGAGGCGGACTTTAAGGTTTGCGATCCTTGAGAAGGACACGCGGAGTGCTGGGGTCGAGCAGCTCCATCATCATCTTACCTAGCTCGTTGTGTTTGATCGGCTTAGTGACGTAGTCGTTGAAGCCAGCGTGGGCGGCATCGTCGATCTGGTCTATCATCGCATTGGCGGAGAGCGCCATAATAGGGATCTGGGGGAAGTGGTTGTGGTTCTCCCAGGATCGGATCTCCTTGCAGGTCTCATACCCGTTTTTAACAGGCATTTGAATATCGCACTGCCGGTATGTTAGATTCAGACACTTTATGGGATGAAAGGTGGTATAACGCATACAATTATCAGCGAGTAATAGCCCGGCTCTTTGGAGAAGACCATGTCGACGCACTCTTGGCCATTCCCGGCAGTTTCAGAGACAAGCTTGACTTTATCAAGGTATTTTAGCATGACCTAGGTTATTTTAACGTTAGCACTAGCGCCATCACGGCATAAAGGCAAGATAAGAATGTTAGTACATACTGTCCGGTTCGTCTCGTCATCTTCAACAAGCAAAACTCTATACCCCTTATTGCCAATGACCTCTTTGACGATCTTGGACATATTTTTGAAGCTGTTGTTAACCTCACGTGCCATATCTTGGTTTCGATCTTTGCTCAGCTCCCGCTCGCTCCTGGGATCGAATATCAAGGAAAACGCGCTTGGCTTGACGGGCTTGGGTACAATAAACACACTCTTCCCGGCTGCTAAGAGTTCCTTGTATACGGCAGTGATGTTGCGCTTGAGGTAGATATCTGCTATTATCACTATTGTCGGACTAGGAGGGCCGTCAGGATCGGTTTTAAGAAAACTGGACATTATCTCGGTCACCTCAGGGGCTTCTGGGAGACCAAGAACTATGTGCGTCAGAGGATCATTTTTGTTCAGTCTTAACTCCCTCCAATCTTCCATATCAAGCAGGCAGGTCATCTTGGACTGCACGCCATATGGTACAACTTGCTCGATGTGCTGCTTGATTGCTTCTCGAGCATAGTCAAACGGACAGATTAGCACCGTGTTGTACGCTTTGTATATAAAGGGAGCATCCATCGATCTCATTGGCGAACAGAGTGCTGGAGGAGCCGCAGTCGAAATATAATATTCAGATTTTGGTTTGGCAATGGGCAGCCGCTTTTCTTCTCCCGTCGATACTGGGGCAGTAGGTGGCCGTGACAGGTGGTCATCGTCTTGTATCTCCATCACTTGACCAGGCGTGGGGGGCTCGACTATCTCCCCGGAAGGCGACTGGGGTGGTGCCCCGGCCATCACATAGAATGAGAACTTAGCTCCCCGCCCTTCTTTGCTAGTAGGTGTCAACCGCCCGCCGTGCATCTCTACAAGTTGCTTTGACAAGAACAAGCCTAAGCCACTACCAGCGTGCTGTTGTGACCCGTTCGTTTCAATCTGGCTGAACCGTTGCATTAGGCGCTCTGCATCTGTCGAATTGAAACCTTTACCAGTGTCCACGACTTCGAAATTAAGCAGGATCTCAGATGGTTTCGTGTTGACGTTGGGATCGACGAGGATCGAACATCGCGTGCAAATCTCGCCTTGGGTAGTGAACTTGACCGCATTACCCATGAGGTTGATCAAGATCTGACGGATACGGAACCGATCTCCCAGCACAGTCGAAGGGACATCGGTGTCAACCAAGTAGTTTAGTTCCAGACCCTTGTCGATCGCCCTGGAGCTAATGGTGTCTATGGCGTCTTCCAGTACAGATCGGACATGGAACCACTGCCTGACAATATTCATCTTCCCTGCTTCCACCTTTGACACGTCAAGGATGTTATCCACCAACTCACGAAGATTCGTTGAGCTGTTCTGGATCGTATCCAGCATTCTTCTCTGGTCATTGTCAAGTAAGGTATCAAGTACGAACGGAATTGTGCCTAAAATCCCATTAAGCGGCGTCCTAATCTCATGAGACATGTTGCTGAAGAATTTCGTCTTAGACTCCATCTCCCTATTCAACTTCTGCAGGGCGGTATTGAGCTCACGCTCCAATAACTTGCGATCGTTGATATCTGTACATGTACCATACCACGATGCTTCACCGCTGCCAAAGTCGGGTGTCTCAACTTTGACCAACCGCACGAGGTGCCATCGGAAATCTCCTTTTCGGGACCTAAATCTGATTTCAGTTGTATAGGAATCTCGACCGTTCTCATCGCGTTGGATTGTAACGATTTCTCGTCGCACGAGTTCCTGCAATGCAGGCGTTACGCCTTTACCAAACACTCTGAGTGGATTATCATATTGCTGCTTCTCTGCAGATGAGGACGAGGGTGACGCCTGTGTTGAATTCCTTCGACACCTCTCGGCTTCCTTCAGCGTTTCAGCGAGGTTTCCATTGGACATTATACGGGCAAACTCAGGTATATCATTCGACTCTGGAATAACCTGTGGAGGCGATAAGATACCACATTTCTCCAGATCATCGCGATGAATATACTTTGCAAAGCCCAAAGTCATTGCTTCATCAAGGGACTGGCCTGTGTATAGCTCCCATTGCTCATTTACTGAGATCAACCCACTATACTCTGCGGCCTCGAAGACAACCTGAGGAATTGAATTCGCGAGAGCTCTGTATTTGACATCGGTCGCGAACATCTCTCGCTCCTGCGCTGCCTTGCGCTCAGCGACATGTTGTTCATGAACATCCAGAAATGAGCCGATCCAATACAGAAGCTCACCCGCCCCTGATATGAGCGGATTTGCCCGGAAGATAAACCACCGGTATTCAGATTCATCATTGAAGCGTTTTACGCGCACGCGCTCTGTAAACTGCGATCCAGTACGCAACGCTTTTGTCCAGTGTTTTAGTACCTTTTCATATTCACTAGGATGAACGTTCTGCCAAGGGTCCCGAACTCGCGGTTCCATAGGCTGGCTTCGCCGATACGCATCAAACTTTGCATTGGTCCAAATAACCTCGCCGGTATGTGGCTTTGCAAGGAAGAGGTGTAAGGGTATCGAGTTGAGCATCAGCTGCGCAACTGTGTCTGGGAAGGGACGCGAGGAGACCTCACGATGCCATTGAGCGGTGAAGGAGCCTGTTGACGAATGACGTGAAAATTCGGCGAGCATCTGTGGAGTATTCTGACTTGCTTTTGTCGGAGCTTCGGCAATCGAAGGGGTATGTACTAATCCCGGGTCCCTTGAAGTTAATTCATCGTATGCAGCCTTTTGTTGTGACGGAGGGATTGCAATAGCCAGTCCTTCGGTTGGTGTGCCTTGAACACTGTTATTGGCCATTGCGGACGCTGCAGCCGCAATGCTATTGCTGTTATTGTTCTCAGTCGAAGACGGGCTCTTAGCTCGAAAATATCCCTCACCAGTAGCGTCACCACCGCCCAATTGAGTCAAGGGACTTGCATAGTTTACATGCCCCGATAGACCATTAATGAGCTCAAGCTCACTGTTAGCGTCTGAAAAGGTACCGCCGAGACCCAAGAGGTGACCATATCGCTCGACAGTAGGGCTCGTGCTTTGTTTTTCTAGTTGGCTGTACTGCTGCGCAAGGCAAAATGAAGTCGTAAGATGAGGAAGCAGTAGTGCTAGAGAATTTCGGAGGTTGGTTGGATATGGGATTATGGGAGCTAGGAGGGATATGACAGCAACAGGAAAGCGGAGCGTATCCGACCTTCCCTGTCGTGACGAGGAAGAATGGATTAGGGGAATGTGGATGACGCTCTTTGCACAATCGATACCAATGGCCTCCAGGGG